AAGATCGAAAACGTTGATACAAAATAATTTAATAGACTTTTATTTTGATTCTTTTTTAATTTGATTTTCAAAAAAATTTGAACTCGTTTTTTGAAAATAATGAGTTTTATTTATTCATGTATAAACTACTTAACTGCGAAATAATTTAGAGAAATTTTAGAAAATACCACTTTTTAAGTGCTAATTTTCAAAAATGTCAAATTTTCAAAATCTTTGCAAAAATGTTACTTTTTCAAAATTAATTTTTTATTATATCATTTATTTTTGAGTTAACTATGTTGTATTATGATTTAGTTTTGAGAGTTTAAAGAGTTTTAGGGGTCAAACTCATTTTTTAAGGTTTATAATTTTGAGATTTAGGTTTTCAAAATCTATAATTAGTGGTATTTTTGCAAATGGACATCCCTAAATAGCATTCTTGCAATTGTACACCCTAAAAATGGTATTTTTGCAATTGCTCCAAAAATTTATGATGTTTCTATTTAAAATTTTTATTTTATAAATATGAAAAGTGTAAAACTACTTATAAAGATTTCTCACCATTATTAAATTGTTTTGAATATTTTTTATTATATTCTTTTATTTTTATTTAAAATTTTCACATATTTCTAAGTAATTAGTTTTTTTTTTCAATTCCTGATTGAATTAGGTTTATCTTTTATCTATCTAGTCATATATTTATTTTTCCAAAATCTTGGCGAATTGAATATTATATTTTTAGTTACAAACAAAAATAGCAAATTTTAATAAAATTTCTTTCACATAATTGATTCCCAAATTTGCAAGAATCAAACGATGCACAAAATTTTGAATATTATTTTTCTGCATTAAAATAAAATCAAATTGTAGTTAGACATAATCAAGTATTTAGCAATACACTAAGACTCATATTGATATAAAATTAAAATACGTTAACATTTTCATCCGTTAATAGAAAGTCTATTCCTAAATCTCATTATTTTTCATAAAATTTCTCGCCTCCCATTTTTTTATAATATATTATACGACGATACAC